GGACTATAAGAAACAAGATGTAAGGAGACCACCACCTAAGTGCTACAGGTGTGGTGAGCCAGGGCACCTCATCCGGGACTGCCAGCAGACACAAAGAAAAAACTAGGTCCGGCTTGCCTCAAGGCAGGAGGGGAATTTGCGGCCAGTTTACCTGCCATAAATGTATATATATTAAATAAGGAGAGGTCTCTGAGTGAAAGGACTCTAAAATTTATCATAGACTCGGGCTCAGAGGCCAATATTTTAAATATCGATAATTTAAAATTATGCACTGAGGGACTAAACAAACCAATTTACCTTAAGGGTATAACTGGCAAATCTTTGAGGTCATTAGGGAGTGAGGTGTTAGAGATAGGGGCGATGGTGAACGGTAAGCCCATTAGGGAGGTAAGAACGACCTTCGAGTATTGCCACATGGGGGATTTAGTTGCCGATGTCGCAAACTAAGTGCACAGCGACAAACCTCGGGTAACCGATCTGACATCGTAGTTTACGACGCTTTAAGCGTGGCTGAGATGAGGGTGATTCAGACGGGAGGTTGGGAAGGATCGGCACGTTGGAAGCTCTTCTATATATTGCGCAGCCTGGAACCAATCCTTTATAGACAAACTTGGAACATGTGGTGGGTAAAGAAATCGAATACCCTATAACTCCATGCCTCTAAGTCAAAGTCTAAAGGGGGTTTTTAATGAGGGTTAACAATTAGAGCGTGTAAGAGATAAGTTACGATTAGACGAGGCGATTCCGTCTACAGATTTTAGGTACCAGTTAGCAAAGTGACAGATGGACTGTCCAGATTCTTTGTGTTTTATATCGCCCCAGGCTAGCAAAAGTTAATCACCTAATTAAAGACTATTGTCTACCATACGTTTAGTTAGAACGAGTTCAAGTCTAAATACCAGTTAGTAAGTAGAATTTTTTTTTTCACGAGAATAACTCGTTCTATGTTGAGATAAATTTTTAATTAGTAGGACACCTAAATGAGCCTTTGAAGCAGATTGCCAGAACAAGCCAATAAAGTGTTCCAGACTTGAGAAGGAGGAATTTTTAAGGGAAGATTGAATATCAATTTTTGTTTTGGCTGTGAAATGGCCCAGAGCAATGAGTTTATATATATTTTTTCTGGACAAATAGTCAAATTTACAGAAAGATATTAAGAACTCAAGTGGGAAGATATATCGTAAGGTATAAGTTAGACCTAGGTTGTTAATCATCATAATTTACTTTTCGGGTTTAATTTAAGTATTTTTATTAAAGTGAGTTTATTGATTAAAAATATGAGTACACATTCTATAGATAAGCTAAACAATGTATAGTAGAGGTTAACAACAATGTTCAGCTAAAAACAAAGATAGGTGAGATTGCCACCACAGATAAGGTAATTTGGAAATAATCTGGTTTAGAGACGTATTGAATACCAAGATTTCCTTTTGGGTTAAGAGAGGCGGGGAACATGCCAGACAAACACTCCCAGTGACGAATTGGTTAGAACAAGCTTTTAAGGTAGTGCATATAAATTTTGAAATACTAGCGAAATGACCTAGATCCTCAGTGCATATCTATTCGTTTATTATTATTATATACTCATTATTACCATATACCATGTATCATTCCTTTTATTATATTCATGTATATTTGTATATATAGAAAGCACGATTCGGATTATAGATGTGTGACATTTTGGTAGCAGCGTTGTTACCATCTTCAGACAAAATGCACTAAATAAGTTTAACCACAGCATATATATATATAATCTGTTTATTTATCATAGTATATTCCCCATATCAATGTTATTTCCTTCCCATACATCATATTCTTCCAAAATTTTGGCATATTTATTATCCAGTGGTAATATTTACTCATTTAATGTACCGTCCACCATGTTTACCCCTTTTCTAATTATCTTCATGTATATTCATATATATATATATATATATATATATATATATATATATATGGAAGCAATGGTCGCCTCTCCCGTCAAAATAAACGCCAGAATCTGACGCCATCCATTGACCGTCGCCGCAACTAGCGGCATCGGGTCGGTGACAAAGCCATGGATGGCGTCAGATTCTGGCGTTTATTTTGACGGGAGAGGCGACCATTGCTTCCATGGATTAATTTCCTCCCGGCAAATTTTCCATCTGTGTTTTGCCAATAGATTTGGCCCAGCCACATTGCCAGCAAAACACCTCTTTGGTAGATTGTGAGGATTCCATTAGATCCCGTGTGGATCTCATGGAATAAAGTCCGCCCTAGACTGACGAGGGCCATTAGCCCGAAACCATGGTCTCTAGGTGGACGCTTATCAGTTTGCCAAAGTTGGTGTTGTGGCTTTGTCACCGACCCGATGCCGCTAGTTGCGGCGACGGTCAATGGATGGCGTCAGATTCTGGCGTTTATTTTGACGGGAGAGGCGACCATTGCTTCCATGGATTAATTTCCTCCCGGCAAATTTTCCATATATATATATATGTAGTAAACCCGATGTGGAATGTGCTGGGCAGTGGTGGTAGTGGGTGCGTGATGGGATTCCCGCACTGGGACAGCAAAGAGACAGAGGCAGGTCTAGATGGTAACTCCAAGAAGGTAGAGGTAGACCACGGACGAAGTCAGTCGGACCACGGGCGTCACTGATGCCCTACATCGCGGATAGGGGTGAGTGAAAGATCCGACCGTATAACGGCGTCGCTCTGAAACAACTACTATCTATCTATCTAACTATCAGACGAAACTTTCTAACGACCCCTATATATAGCAACCCTCAACCGTCTACCCTGGCCTTGACTCTCATTGGCTGCTGGTCAAGCTGTTTGTTTGCTCAGGCGTAACGGCGCGCCTCGGTGTCTAGCCTTTCATCTCAGGTTTTGGTTTCGATAGATTGGTTTTGGTTGCTATAGTCTGACCTTGACCGGCCACCTGGGCGGATGTGACTCAATATCATAATACCTGTACGTTTGGTCTATGGCTTCGCTTGGTCTACCTCCCTCTTTGCTTTATTGTGATATCCATCTTACAAGGTTGATACATATTTATATAGAGATGGGATTACAATAAATATCAGAAGGTTGTGATGATGATGCGCGCGCATCCGTGACAGAACCGGCCGCCCATGACGGTCGTGACTATATATGTTGACTAGACGAATGGCCCGGGCAATGCCCGGGTTTTACCCGAGTGCGTATATATTTTTAAAATGTTTTAATTAAAATACTATTCGTTACAATTATAAATTGGCGCCGTGGATGTCTCTCTTGTGAAACGTCCCGCCCCAAACTGTGTGTGTCTTGAAAATATAAAAATAAAAATGTGAACGGAAAAATATGTCCAGGGTAGCCTAGTGGTCATGGCATCTGCCCGGTAAGCGGAAGGTCGTGGGTTCGATTCCCATCCCTTGGCACTTTATTTATTTTATCCATTCTGACCAAAATCTATCCGTGAACTTCACACAGAGAGAATAAGGCAATTATATAAGTAGATAATCCAAATTGTGCCTTATCACACATTCTTTTTAAATTTGGCCTTATTACCTTGTGTTCATAATCTATGACGTAATACCGGCGGCGCGCGCCCGTTGGCTGCCGGCGAGCTCGTGACCTCCCTGTGCGCGCGCATCCGTGACAGAACCGGCCCATGACGGTCTTGACTATATATATATATAGATAATAATAATAATAATTATTAGAAGTCTTGCAGCACTTTGTTCTGCTGTTTCATTGTCAATACGACTTCTAGAAGTTTCAGCTTTACGCAGAAGTCTTGCAGCACGTTGTTCTGCTGTTTCATTGTCAATACGACTTCTAGAAGTTTCAGCTTTACGCAGAAGTCTTGCAGCATGTTGTTCTGCTGTTTCATTGTCAATACGACTTCTAGAAGTTTCAGCTTTACGCAGAAGTCTTGCAGCACGTTGTTCTGCTGTTTCATTGTCAATACGACTTCTAGAAGCTTCAGCTTTACGCAGAAGTCTTGCAGCACGTTGTTCTGCTGTTTCATTGTCAATACGACTTCTAGAAGTTTCAGCTTTACGCAGAAGTCTTGCAGCACGTTGTTCTGCTGTTTCATTATCTAGTTTTAGACGTTTAGCTTCAGAATCTCGTTGGAGTCGTTCAGCGCGTTCATCAGCTGTTTCTTGTTGCCTTGCATTTTGCCTTTTTGCGGCAGCTGCGGCCTTTCTTTCCTCTTCAGAGTTATATTTCTTAGGAGGCATGTTTTTTTGCATACAATGATTATTTTAGTAAATAGGTAATATTAAGTAAAAGCAGAAGAATATGGGTGTAATTAGTAATCAAAGTAAACAATTAGTAATCAAGTTATCAAAATTATTATTTTTTGGATGAAATATATCTATGAAATTTATTGAAAATTAAAATATTCTGTTATTTTAAAATATATATTTATTTTTAAAATAAAGTTTTTAATTTTAAAATGTTTTTTTTTTTTTTAAATATAATTTTCATTATGATAATGATCATAATGATGATGCGCGCGCATCCGTGACATGAGGATTTGAGGAAAGACGGTCGTGACTATATATATTAATAATAAAATAATAATAATAATATAATAATAAATATTATTATTATTATCATTAGATAATGATAATGATCATAATGATGATGCGCGCGCATCCGTGACATGAGGAATTGAGGAAAGATGGTCGTGACTAAATATGTTGATAATAAAATAATAATAATAATATAATAATAATTATTAATATTATTATCATTAGATAATGATAATGATCATAATGATGATGCGCGCGCATCCGTGACTGAACCGGCCGCCCATGACGGTCGTGACTATATATGTTGACTAGACGAATGGCCCGGGCAACGCCCGGGTTTTACCCGAGTGCGTATATATTTTAAAAATGTTTTAATTAAAATACTATTCGTTACAATTATAAATTGGCGCCGTGGATGTCTCTCTTGTGAAACGTCCCGCCCCAAACTGTGTGTGTCTTGAAAATATAAAAATAAAAATGTGAACGGAAAAATATGTCCAGGGTAGCCTAGTGGTCATGGCATCTGCCCGGTAAGCGGAAGGTCGTGGGTTCGATTCCTATCCCTTGGCACTTTTTTTATTTTATCCATTCTGACCAAAATCTATCCGTGAACTTCACACAGAGAGAATAAGGCAATTATATAAGTAGATAATCCAAATTGTGCCTTATCACACATTATTTTTAAATTTGGCCTTATTACCTTGTGTTCATAATCTATGACGTAATACCGGCGGCGCGCGCCCGTTGGCTGCCGGCGAGCACGTGACCTCCCTGTGCGCGCGCATCCGTGACAGAACCGGCCCATGACGGTCGTGACTATATATATATATATAGATAATAATAATAATAATTATTAGAAGTCTTGCAGCACTTTGTTCTGCTGTTTCATTGTCAATACGACTTCTAGAAGTTTCAGCTTTACGCAGAAGTCTTGCAGCACGTTGTTCTGCTGTTTCATTGTCAATACGACTTCTAGAAGTTTCAGCTTTACGCAGAAGTCTTGCAGCATGTTGTTCTGCTGTTTCATTGTCAATACGACTTCTAGAAGTTTCAGCTTTACGCAGAAGTCTTGCAGCACTTTGTTCTGCTGTTTCATTTTCAATACGACTTCTAGAAGTTTCAGCTTTACGCAGAAGTCTTGCAGCACGTTGTTCTGCTGTTTCATTGTCAATACGACTTCTAGAAGTTTCAGCTTTACGCAGAAGTCTTGCAGCACGTTGTTCTGCTGTTTCATTGTCAATACGACTTCTAGAAGTTTCAGCTTTACGCAGAAGTCTTGCAGCACGTTGTTCTGCTGTTTCATTATCTAGTTTTAGACGTTTAGCTTCAGAATCTCGTTGGAGTCGTTCAGCGCGTTGATCAGCTGTTTCTTGTTGCCTTGCATTTTGCCTTTTTGCGGCAGCTGCGGCCTTTCTTTCCTCTTCAGAGTTATATTTCTTAGGAGGCATGTTTTTTTGCATACAATGATTATTTTAGTAAATAGGTAATATTAAGTAAAAGCAGAAGAATATGGGTAATTAGTAATCAAAGTAAACAATTAGTAATCAAGTTATCAAAATTATTTTTTTTTGGATGAAATATATCTATGAAATTTATTGAAAATTAAAATATTCTGTTATTTTAAAATATATATTTATTTTTAAAATAAAGTTTTTAATTTTAAAATGTTTTTCTTTTTTTTTAAATATAATTTTCATTATGATAATGATCATAAAGATGATGCGCGCGCATCCGTGACAGAACCGGCCGGCCGGCCCATGACGGTCGTGACTATATATGTTGATATATATAAGGCACAAATCGAACTATAGACTACAAAAACAAGATAACGAGACCGATCCCAGAATAAATAATTAGTATGTGTGACATTTTGGTAACAGCGTGGTTACCATTTTCGGACAAATGTACCGAATGAAGAATTTAATCACAGTTTATATATTCATTTGTTTATCATTGTATATCCTATATATATATCAAGTCATTCCCTTTCTACTTATAGTATGTACCCATTTAAATTTTTTTTATTTATCATTGCGTATATCTACATTGCTTCATTTTGGCATACATCGTATCCGTGCAACTTTGATATGTATATTCACTCCCCACGTTTCCGTTTGCCCTATTATTGATGTTAATTGATAGGAGATGCAATTTTTTTTTATCTTATGTGACCGTGTATAGTCATTCCTTTGCTATCGTATGTATCTCATCATATAGAGTTAATAAAGTTTTTTTTTTATTTTAGATGTGTTTTAGGAATTGGGCATATCTACATTTACACGCACAATTCCTTGGCGCCCGTAATGATTATGTTTATCCAGAACGGTCTGAGGATCTGTTTGTACAGAATCTGTGTATAGACCAACCCCCCATCTCCACCCATAGGGACTGCGGCTGGGAACGTGTGGATTCGCCTCACATCTGGGCCAAGACCCCCTGGCATACAGACAGCGAAAGGATGGGCTTTGTAACTTGCCCATTAAATGGTAGGATAAGATTTCCTTCAGTAATTACGATGAGTTAACCTGTCCTAGGTTCCATGGCCCGTTTGTTCTCCCTTTGCCTGAGTGTCGGTGATTGCATATACTGGTATCATAAAAAAATGCATTTCTTCCAATATCATATTTCTCATAGAGCATGAACAGATCTGAATTGGAATAAACACATTTTTTCACTCTGGCGGGGGAGGAATTGTTGGGCCAGATTCTCCACCAAATAGACCCAACAATGATGTAAACATTTACATCATATATATACACAGTGTCTTGTCGAAAGTGTTTGGTGTCCAGATGGAGATCCCACCACGGTGGCCGACGGTGCTCTAAAGGTCGAGGCAGGGGAGGACGCCCAAACGGAGATGACTCTGGTGACACCGTGACCAAGATACCGGCCAACCCTCCACAAAAGGACAACAACGAGGCGGATTGGAGAATGAAGAACCGGAAGCAACCCTGGGCGTGTACTCCAAGACGCCCAGCTGGAGATGACACCTATGCCTTTAGAGTCCAGAAAGGTGGAGATGACACATATGCCTTTAAAGATCAGGACCCGGAGGAGATGACCCCTATGCCTTTAAAGTCCAGAAGGCTGGAGATGACACCTATACCTTTAAAGTCCAGAAAGGTGGAGATGACACATATGCCTTTAAAGACCAGGAGCCGGAGAAGATGCCCAGCTGGAGATGACACCTATGCCTTTAAAGTCCAGAAAGGTGGAGATGATACATATGCCTTTAAAGACCAGTAGCCGGGGACGACACGGGTCCTGCCCAAGGATCCAGAAGCCCATTGCAGAGAGGTCCAGCGGAGGATATACAAACTATGTACATATGTGCATATGTTATCTAATGTCAATCACCCTTTTATATGCAATGAAACGTCCAAAATCATATTACCTTTAGGGAAATTTCAAGCCCATTCTTTATTCTAAAATGAATAAAACCAATTAAATACATACCCAGATCAATTTTATTATTATCTCAAGATTTCTTTTAATAAGAAGGAGTCTAATTTCGGATTTCTTAAAGAAGAAATTACTTTAAATTTAAAGAAAATTTTTATATTTTATTATCCTTATTTTATCAATTTTTTATTATCTCAAACTTTTCTTTTAAAGAGGAGAAGTTTAATTTCGAATTTCTTAAAGAAGAAATTACTTTAAATTTAAAATAAAATAATTTTATATTTTATTATCCTTATTTTATCAATTTTTTATTATCTCAAACTTTTCTTTTAAAAGAAAGGGAAGTTTAATTTCGAATTTCTTAAAGGAGAAATTATTTTAAATTTAAAGAAATTTTTATATTATTTTATTATTCTTATTATTTTTAAATATTCTTTTAAAAATAATATTTTTCTTTATTAATATACTAGCGGACGTACCCGGCTTTGCCCGGGTTTTACCCGAGTAAAAGTTTGTCTAACGAATCTCTCGATAAAGTGAACATTTTTTTTCCCGGTCCCTTGAAAAATACTCGATAAGTTGAATAAAATCAATATTAATTGGTTCCCTCGGTAATTGGAAGTTAAAGGAATAGTATCTTGCCTTGGAATTGTATCATTATTCTTTTATGGATGTACCCGGCTTCGCCCGGGTTTTACCCGAGTAAAGGTTTGTTTAACGAATCTCTCGATAAAGTGAACATTTTTTCCCGGTCCCTTGAAAAATACTCGATAAGTTGAATAAAATCAATATTAATTGGTTCCCTCGGTAATTGGAAGTTAAAGGAATAGTATCTTGCCTTTGAATTGTATCATTATTCTTGTCTCAAATAAATTGCCGTTTCATCCTGAATTTTGTCTTTCCTAATTTTCTACATTACAAAATCATCGTATCATCATGATAATATTTAGAGCAGATTGTTGAATTATAACAGATAAATTAAAATATTTATCTTGATTATTTCTAGGCGAAAAGTTATTTCAAAAATTTTATTTGCTAGAAACCTTCCCAGTACTATACTAAATAACTTCCCAAAGTTTCATGGCGATCCAATGAGTGGTTTGGTCAGGCATAAAGGACAAACAAACAAACAGACACACATACATTCATTTTTATATATTAATATATATATATTTTTTAATAATATTCTAAGAATATTATTTTCTTTTTATTACTCTGTAGGAAAATTGACGATTTACCTTGGGGGCGTTGTTTGAAAATAACGGCAGTTCTTATCGAGTTTTTATCGGGGGAAGATGACCAAAACGGGACGTCCTGGGCCATAGGGGTTGCCAAGACAAGTCTGAGAATGGTATGTAGAGAAAATATTTGGTAAGTCCAACCACATCATATGTTTTTAAGGTGTAGACCTAAAGAGTTCCGTGTAGAAAGAATGGTAATAGCCATGATAGATAGTAATTTTTTTTGGTAGATTCGACTATCTAAGATATATAATGAATAGAGATATAAATCCTTTATGTTCTTTTTTTAGTCATCTTGATTGATCATTTTATCTAGATGCGGTAACTTGGTTGAAATACCAAATTGTAGGTTCTAAGTCAATTTTCTTTTATAGGAATTTTATAATTTGCAAAAGAAATTAAACTTTTTTAAAGCCTACTCATGCTATCTACTGATAAATGAAAAAAATTCTTGTAAATTCCATAGGGGTGAATAAATTTTAATGTTCAATATTTTAAAAGTGTGTTGGTATTATTCTATCCATAATTAACTACAAATCACATGTAAATCCTTGGTGTGTATTATATTTTTTCTGTGTGTATGTGTTTAAATAAAATCCACTGGAATATAATTGGAAATGAGCTAGACCGGATTAGAAATAGAGACGTCCTCAAATGGGACGTAAGAAGAGATCTTACAAAAAGAATAGGCGAATAGATAGGTTTATAAAAAAGAGTAAAGACTGAACCATGATAATAAGTTTCCAAATTTCAAATACAAGCTATGGTGAAAAAATAAATATTTTTCTATTTCTATTTTTCTATTCTTTCTAGAAGAGAGATAACAAAGTTTCATTTAAATAAATAAGGAACATAAAATATGTCAAAGTAGCCCTTCCTACAATCTAGAATATATATGCATATACAAGGACAGACATACACCAAAGA